TACTGGCTTTTTGGAAACCCATTCTCTTTGGATGTATACTTTGCTCAGCCTAGATATAGTAGGGAGGGCCTTGAACCCTCCACAAAGCAATGTGCCTTACCCTCTCTGAGGAGTGGATGGGGGTGGGGTGAGAGGGTATGTGGAGGGAATGGGAGGAGGGGAGGGAGTGGATACTTGGATTGGTATTTTTTTTAAAAATTAAATAAATTTAAAAAAACTTTTTATAAAAAAAATTCTGAGGCTTATTTTGTGGCCTATCATCTAGTCTACCCTGGAGAATTTTCCACGTGTGTTTAAGGTAAATATGTAATGTTCTTTTGCTGGGTAAAGTGTTTTATAGATGTCTATTAAGTCTGGTTGTGAACAGTTTTGTTACTACAGCTTGTTCCTATAGCTTGTGTACAGTTAATATTTTAACAGAGATTGCCTTAAGCACCAGAAGACAAGAGCAAGCAAGAGAGAAAAAGGAAAAGGAAAATAAAGGAAAATAAATTTTGCTAGATTTTTCAATAGTTCTCTGGAAAGATTGGGTCTTGGATTTCCCTATCCTACCCTTTTCTCTGACATCATCCCAAACCCTCATTCTCAGATTAGGATGCTAGAAGGCATAGCCCAGAAATAAGAGTGAACTGGAAGTGGTAGATTGGCTTTGCTGGAAGTGCAGCAGGCCTTTGAATCATCTAATTCCTAAAAATGATTTGAGATCACACTAGATAGCTAGTTCTTCTGGCCACCTGCCAACAGCAAATTTAAATTCTCTGGGAGAAAATAGGCCTAAAATAGTTTTATAGTTTTTCATATATAATATCCAGAACTCAGTATCAATATCACCGGGCCTATGAGGATACAAAATACAAGAAATAAAACTGAGGCAAATAAGAAACAATGGCAACAGACTTGTAGAGTATTTAAATAATTACATCATTAGAGGCCGAGTTAAAACAAACATGGATAGTATGTTCAAGTAGATAAAATATGCCACCATTATATAGATGTTTGATGATTTGGGCTCTATAAATATGGAAAAAATTATATTAAAAGAGGAATCAATGTTAAGCATTGTATATAATGTGTTTTCATTTGTAAAAATAAATTGAGAAATACATGTTTAAAATTGAGATAAATATCCCATAAAATTAGTCATTTTAATTATTTCAAAGTATGTGCTTTGGTGGCTATGGTGGTCTGAATAAGAATGGCCCCCACAGGCCAATATATTTGAGTATTTGCTCCCCCCAACACACAGACATTGATGAAACTGTTTGAAGAGATTAGAAGGTGTGGCTTATTGGAGGAGGGTATCACTTGGGGTGGGCTTTGAAATTTAAAAGACTAGAGCCATTCTCTCTGCCTAGTTCTTGTTGATTGTAGAGCCCTGCGCACTCAGCTACTGCCTCAGTACGGCCTGCCTGCCTGCCTGCTGCTCCCTGCTGTGACAGCCATGAGCTCTCATCCTCTGGAACCGTAATTCCCTTGGTCCTGTTTTGTTACAGCAATTGCAAAGAAGATGGTTTGGGGGTATATTAAAATGCTATCCAACTGTCAATGCTATTTAGTCCTAGAAGTTTTTTTTTTTTTTAAAAAATTTATTTTTCAGTATTAGGGATTGAACCCACAGCCTTGTATATACTGGGTAAGGACTCCTATTTTCCAAATTTTTTTGTCATCTCAAAATGAAACTTTCTACTCATTAGCAGTCACTCTCTTTCCTCCAGACTTCAGCTCCCAGCAGTCACTACTCTGGATATTTCATATTAGTGGAACAGACATGGTCCTTGGTGTTTGGCTTCTTTCACTTCTCATGATGCTGTTAGAGTTCATCCATGTGCTTTCGACCTAATTTTTAAGTTAATGTACAGTTACTTTGATATATAATATCACATTTAGTTAAGGGATTGAACATTTATGCCTACATTTGAATATTAATATATGGTTATATTAATTTTTATATGCTCATAAACAAAGAATATTTAAGGGAAAGATACTCAAAACATTATCAACATTAGCTATCTCTAGGGACAGAAATTAAAAGGGAAAAAAATTTTCATTATTCTGTGCCCCCCCCCTTTTGGGTTATTTTGAGACATTGTTTCTCTGTATCTTTTGGAATCCATTATGGAATTTGCTCTGTAGACCAGGCTGGCCTCGAGCTCACAAAGATTTGCATGTCTCTGGCTCCCAAGTGCTGGTATTAAAGGTGTGTGCCACTACTGCCTGGCTTATTCCACCTCCTTTTTAATGATTTTTTTTAATTCAATAAAAACAATATATTGTTTGTCATTTAAAAACTACTTGAGCCATTTATGGTGACACATGCTTTTAATCCCAGTACTTGGGAGGCGGAGGCAATAGGGTCACTATAAATTCAAGGCTAACTTGGTCTACATAGTGACTTCTAGGTCAGTCAAGGCTATATAGTGAGACCCTATTTCAACAAACAACTTAAAAACAGAAATAACCCAGACATGATAGCATATGTCTGCATTCCAGAATTGGGTATGAAGGCAGAGACAGAAGGATTGCTCCAAGTTCAAGACTAGCTTAGTCTACATAGCTAGTTCTACGACAACCGATCTCTCTCTTTATCTCATCTCCCTCTGTCTCTCTGTTTCTCTGTTTTTTTCTCTCTCTCATACATACAAACACATATACACATTACCACACACACAAACACACACAAAGAAGATGATATACTTTCAAAGTAGAAGTTTCTTCCTTGAATCCTTTTATGATAATGCTAATATTTAGGTGATTCTTTTATCTGATATATTTATAAATGCAAAAAGCAACATTTGAATAAACTACTTTGAATATTTAACATTTTTTAACATAACAATTGTAAATCTGCTGATGCATAGCTTTCTAAGCAAGTACTAATATTGACCACGTTATTTTATCCAATCTTAAGGATGCTCAAGAAAACTATATTAGGCCAGGTGGTGATGGCATGAGCCTTTATTCCCAGCACTCGGGAGGCAGAGGCAGGCAAATCTCAGTCTCAGTGAGTTCAAGGCCAGCCTGGTCTACAAAGCTAGTTCCAGGACAGCCAGGGCTACACAGAGAAACCCTGTCTCGAAAAACTAAAACAAGAAAAGAGAAAATTATATTAAGAATTTTCGGTTCATAAGATATTTTCAGTGAAATTTTTTAACATTAGAAAACAAAATGAGAACTGGAAAGATGGCTAGGCAGTTAAGAGCACTGGCTGCTCTTCCAGAGGTCCAATTCCCAGCAACCACATGGTGACTCACAACCATCTATAATAGGATCTGATGCCCTCTTCTGGCATATAAGTATCCATGCAGAACATATACATACACAAAATATAAGTAAATAAAATAAAAAGAAAAGAAATATGCCTTTAGATGCAGTTACTCTGAGAATGGTACAAAGGGCCAGAAAAGCTATAACTGAATGTTAAACCAGCATTAGAAATCTGTAGATTAAATGCACAGACAGAAACAAGACAGTAAAAAGCAGCGTTTTTGCCCATTCTTTAAAAATATTTATCCAGGGGCCATTGAGATTGATCAGTGGGCAAAGGCAGATACCACCAAGCTGAAGAATATGGTGGAAGGAGAGAAACAGCTCTCATAAGTTGTTCTCTGACCTTCCCACACGTGCTGTGACGTGTATGTGCTCCCCAATAAAATATATAGCAAAATGTAAAACTACAAAGAAAATGTTAATCCAAAGACTTGGGAAGCTGAGACAGGAGGGTTGTCATGATGCTTGAGTCAACCTGTGTTACAAACCTAAATAAATAAGTAGACAAGTAGAAAGTAATAAGATGTGGATGTGGATTGAATGTCTTTAGAATATTATTGTAGGGAAAAGACTTACATGGGCAGGAAATGATGGTCTAATAGAAACATATGGACCATATATTTAGAATTTTCTAGTAGTCACTTTAAAAGAAGAAAAAAGACAAAATCAATTTTAACACTATATTTAATTCAGTATGTGAAACATTTTAATATATAATAATATTAAAATCATTGAGGCTTGCTGTGCTTATTTTCATACCAAGGCTTTGAAATCCAGTTTGGATTTTATTCTTTGTTGTTGTTTGAGACAGGATATCTCTGTGTAGTCCTGGCTGTCCTGGAACTCACACTCTAGTCCAGGTTGACCTCAAACTCAGAGATCCACCTGCCTCCGCCTCCCTAGTATGCGTGCCACCACCGCCGTGCCTAAATTTTGTTCTTTTAGCACATCTCAATTCTCAATAGCCTCCATTTTAAGCACTCTGTTATCTAATATTGCAAATGACTACCGTAGTGAACATCCCAATTCTAAGCCAACGTGACTCTTAAAGCTGTGTTGATATCAGTTAAGTCTGTGTGATAATCACTTATCTGTTATCTTTTCTTTGTGGAGTATGTGTTTGGAAAATTCATAATTTAAAACCAAGGAGAAAGACACATTAGATGTTTAAAAGCTTCAGGGGGAACACAGAGTAAATGTGTAGGAAGCAATGACCCTATGGATGCTGTAACTGGAGGAGTATGGGAAGGCAGTAGCAAATTGTCCGTGTATTTTGAGACTGGAATATTTTCTATAGTTAGACTTTTATTGCAATGTGCTTCTTGTCCTGAGCATTCTGTACACCAAATTCTGGAGCTGTCTTTAGGAGGTTTGGGAGCTTGTGTGGCTGCCTCGTGAGGTCTCCATGCTCAGCAACACCTACTACACGAATGGTAGGGTGTCTCACCAAATACAGAGCTACACCTCATTCACAAGCTCTCTGCTTTTCTTTTCCTTCCTTGCTTCCTTTTTCCCTCCCTTTGAAATGATTCTGACTGTCTTTTGTCTGAACCCTTTCTTCAGGCACGTGAATCTCACCCCCATTTTCCCCATCTTTCCTCTTGGAATCTAAGAACCAAAAATAATCAAAAATATTCTAAGCAAAGGGATAATGTCAAAAAAAATAACATGAGACTATAAATGATTTGAGGAACCATTCATTTATTCAATTACAAATAGCTCCTGAGGGCATTTTATGTACTAGACACTATGTTAGAATAATCTATTTGAGAATAAGGATTATCCTGAAATGTGTTCATACGCTTTGTTTTTACAGTTTTCTACAATCATGTCTTTCGCCCTTGTTCATTCTCTCCATCTCCTCTGCCCCTCTTTCACAGACACTTCATGCTCATTACGTCTTAGAGGTGCTATTTGAAGCTAGGAAAGTCCTGAAGCAAATGCCGAATTTCACTCACATAAAAACCTTTCCCTCCAAAGAGATCACAATCTGCGGTAAGTTTCGGAGTGGAGTTGGCACGTTAATATTTCGGAGCCTCTTGGTCCTGCGTCATTTGCCTCACTTGAAAACTATGGAAATTGGATTGTGTTAAGGGGAAAATGTTAATATAGAATTATCTATCATGATAATACTGTTCCCCATCTTGTCTTTGTTTTGCATACCAGCTGGCAGGAATTAATTATGTGGGACATTAAAGAACTCTTGTAGCTTTTTCTAAAGGCAGATAGCATTTTAATATGGAAAGCCACTGATGGGTAGACTAAGTGTTCTTTGCCCTCTGCCTAGCTCTCATTATCTCCGTCCCATGTTGCTTTTTCCAGGTGGGTCTCTGCATGCGTGCCACTTCAGAAACACCCAATGCAGGGTGGAGATTAAATTCTTTTCTGCCCTTGGCTGTTGTTTTAGATTTTTTTTCCAACTGGTCTTTGCAGTTTTTAAAGGAGTGGGAATGTCCCCAAAATCTGTTTCTTGTTCTTCTAAATAACAAGATTGGAGATTTTGTTATCTTATAGGCCAGCCTGGCAGGATATTGCTTGGAGAAACAGTACACATTGAAATTCATCACAGTTGGTGCTCAGCGTGCTTACACTGTCTGAGAGTGGGGTGCATGGAAGGAACAGCAATTCCCTAACTTCTAATTAAGGCTTTAGGTTACAAAACAGTGATTGTTATTTTCCAAATCAGTTTTTAGCCCACGTTCTCTTCTGGTGGCAGGTAGAAGTGGATTTGGCAACCTAATTGAACCCTTTCCATTCCCTGCAGCTCATAGTGGTGACAGGAACTTGATGTCGCAGTATATACCTCATGACATGGCTTGACTCCGGTTTTTGAAGAGTCTCCAGTGGTTTAATTCAACCTAATCAGGCCGCCAGATCACTCAAGACAATAATGTACCTCAGCACAGAGACCTTTTATTCAAAGCCCTAGCAAGCTTTGCTTTTGATGGAAACAAAGGCTCAGGAAACCGTGCCAACCTGGGAAGCCTCTGAAGCCAGGGGCTAGATTTTCTAGTCGAATGTACTTTAACAGTCCAAACCAGATGTTAGGATCTGCTCCTGTGCATTTTCCATTAGCCCCCCAGTCGCCTTTGCAGATCTAGCGGCAATGAGGTCACAGATGTGTGCCACTGCACCCTGGAAGAAGAAATGAGTTAGAGGGCCTGGAAGTCCTAGAATTCCACACTATGAGAACCAAAAATCTCTTACAGAGATGTTCTGGTTAAATTTTTCAACTTTTTTTTTCCTGTGTTAGATATTAAACCCAGGACCTTGCACATGCTAGGCAAGCACTCTATCACTAACTATATTCCCAGCCCCATGTCCTGTTCTTATGGGTGAAACAGAGGCCCAAAGGGAAATACATATTGTCGCCAATGTACTTCTATATAGTACCCTGTACCCCAATTTGCTCAGCTAGTCAGTGATAGGGTTAGGATTAAAAATGAGATCTGCTACATTCCAGACTAAGGAGAAGGCCGCCTTTGCACTTGTCTGGCTATTTTTTACTTGCCATCATCAGAAAATTACCAGAGTCTAGGTAGACTGGGCAAGTCCATTCATTTAAGGGATGCTACATTTGGGGCATTTATTTCCATATCCTCCCCCCACACACCCAAACATACATAGCACCTTCGGTAAAGAGAAAAGCCAAAACCAGTAGATTTTCTCAACATAAATTAGTGTTTTCTGTCCCCCACTTCTTTTTTAAGAAAAATAATTTTTAGATTGTGTCTCATTTGTTACTGATGCTTGCCTGGAACTCACTGAGTAATATACGATGGTCTTGAACTCTTGATCCTTCTGTCTTAGCTTCTTGAAGTTTTGTTGTTTAGTTTCCAATTCATGCTACAAATCATAATCAATTCTGTACTCATGTCATTGTTTGCAGGGAAAATATCTTTCTGTCTGCCTTCCCATTGCATGTTGATCTTATGTCCAACTAGAAACTAAAAATATTTTTATAGTTTTCTTTGTTCCTGTCTGCTGTGACTCAACCCAAGGACCCTCAACTCCTAATATACTCAAACAACTTCGTACTTCAGCAAGCTAGCTATTGTAGTACTTCAGATTCAGATTTCTGTACGTGTGCTGATGGTAGTGTTGGTGGTGTTTATGGTGGTGGTAGGGGCAGCGGTGGTGGTGTCTGTGTGTGTACATGTGTGTATGTGTGCGTATGTGCTCGCACGCGCATGTGCACACACATGCACGTGGGAATGTGTGTGTGCATGTATGCGGAGACCAGAGATTGATGATAGGAGTCTTTCTCCATTGCTGTCCACTTTACTTTTGGAGACAGGGTCTTTCTCTGAAGCTGGGGCTCACTAATTAGCAAGGCTGGCTGGCCAGTGAGCTCCAGGACTCTGCTTGGCTCTGCTGCCTCCAGTACTGAGGTTACAGATGGGGGCCACTGCATGTTGTTTACACTTGGTTAATGGGGACCCGAACTCAGGTTGTCAGGCTTGAATAGCAAGCTCCATACTCACTGAATCATCTCCACTGCCAAAATACTCATATTTTTTAAAAGGCAAACGACTCTGAAGAAAATTAGGAAAGCAAAATAATTAGCAGAATATATTAAGTCTTTAACTGTTTAGCTTTTGGAGGGAGACTATCTAAAGGTATTGACATTTAAGTATCCACTAACATCAATATGCCCCTTTATTTTATTGTTACTATTATGACAATTTTATAAATAAGTACTGGTGATGTAGGACTTAAGCTTTATTATTTCTAGTGTAATTCAAGATTCTGTCACATAGACTTGATTTATCTTGCTTGTGGGATTTTAAACTGGGAAAAAAGTTCCTAAATTAAATTAAATGGTAATTAAGTTGAATACAAATTTTGAGCATAGATTATGAAGGATAGATATTTTACTTAAAACTATTTATCCAAATAGAAATTTTGAATATTCATATAGTCGCTCATTTTTTAATTAATGAGTCATATATTCAATAGTTTCCCTTAGTTGGATTTGTTTTTCCCTATAACTGTCTTGTCAAAAGAATTTCAACTATCTAGTCATACTTTTTAAACTTTTAAAGTTAGAAGTAAAATAAAGCAAAACCCAGCAATGGTTTAGATTTTGTGAATGGCTATGGATTTAGCGACCAAATGCATGCCACATATTGAGTGCCTGCAATTTCCTAGGTTCTATGGTAGGTCTTTGAAGAGTTCATGTTTTTAACTCCCTGGGTTTCTATGGTAGGTCCCTGGAGAGTTAATGCTTCCTGTGATAGGTATTTTTGCTGCTCTCCTGAGCCTGAAAATATAGGCAGTACAGAGTAAATCACTCTGAGTTTTAATTTTGAGGTGAGAATATGCTGGGTTTGAATTCTAGCTCTGATTTTGGTGACTGGGTGATCGTACACGTTTCTTAACTACTCTGGGCCTCATTTGGAATATAAGAATGACATTACTACGCATCTCATAAAATGCTTGTTGAGGATTGAATAAGAAAATAAACATAAATTTCTTAGTATAGAGTTTAGCTCAGAAGGAATGAAGCCCTACGAAAGACTAGAGAAAACAGGTTCCAGATGCTGCCTGCCCCCATTCGCACCACAGGAGGGGAAGAAAGAGTTCATGGAAGCAAAGTGCATATTCAATTAGTATCATCAACACCAGGTGAAAACCCCATCCCATGAGAACACTTGGGGTATTTGAGATTTAAAATTTTATAACAAAGGAAGCATTGCATCTTGGTGCTTACGGAATAGTGATGTTTTTTTCGTTTGTATTTCAGGTGATTTGCATGGGAAATTGGATGATCTTTTGTTGATCTTCTATAAGGTAAACGATTGCTATTGTAACTCTTTGTGCTGTTGTTGAGTGAGGGCAGTCCTAGGGCATATAACAATATTAGTTTTGTTGTATGCATGTCTATACCACAAATACAAATGTAATATAGCAGGTTTTTTTCATCTTGGAAACTCAAAGATTCGTAGAGACATGTCTTTTGATTTTTTTTCACACATCTCAGAGATTGGCTAAAAAGATATAATTAGATTATTTGTTCAACATTGTGGCTATCTGTATATCAGTTAGAATGTGTATCTGGCTGTCTTTAGTATCTCATAAAGGTTGAAGTGGTACAGGATGAAGAGAAAGTACTCTGTTTTATTTTGCGTGGAAATTAACACGTCGTATAGCGAGTCTTCACTTTGATCACACACTAATTATGTGTGAAAAGAGATTCCTTTGGTAAATTTCAAATTGATGACTTTTCTTCCTTGACTCATCAGCTCTGAGTTCAGAGGCTCTGCTGGTGTGTCTTCTTTTGCACAGAGGATGTAAAATCGTGTGGTTGGCGGGGAGTTGATCCGTATCCCTTTGACCGGATTCCTTCTTCTCTCTGAGTCAACAGTTGCTCCTGAATGTTCGCTTCTAGGAGATGACATCTAGAAAATGGATCCTAGAATTCCAGTGTTATCTTTTAACACTGGTCTTATACATCTCTCTTTTTTTTTGTTTAATGCATTAATTATCCATCTACGTCATCCTCGTGACCAGCAAGATTAACCACAATTCAGTTTTCAGCTTCCATATTACCTTGGGCTTCCACTCCCTACATTATTTTATAGATAAAATAACGGAATTATCCAAGAGTATTTATATTTTTAATGCTTATTTACTATATTTTATTTGAATTTTTCCATATAATATATTCTGATCGTATTTTTTCCCCCTCTCTCAACTTCTCCTAGATCCTTCCCATGTCCCTCTCAACCCAACCTCAAGTTTATGGTTTAGCATTTCTCTCTCTCTGACCCCATAGCAATTTTACTGGTATTTCAAGACAGGGTTTCTTTGTGTAGCAAACATCTCTAGCTGTCCTAGATCTCTCTTTGTAAACCATGTTGGCCTCAAACTCACAGAGATCTGCCTGCCTCTCCCTCTGAGTGGTGGGATTAACGGCCATGCCCAGCTGGCCCAATAGCATATTTAAAGAACTGCATTATAACAGAAATGTAATATTTTGTTTCATCCATCCATAATGGCAACTTGGAAGAAAACGGGATAGGCCAAACTAAAAGTAGGTCATTGGATCTGGGACTTTGGAGGGATTTGGATGAGACTTCCAGGAGCCTAAACAAGGTTACATACAGAGGGTGTTTATAGGAAGTTGGGAACTCCCCACGCAGTGGTCTAGGAATTACAGACCAAGGCTTACTGGTAGGGAACTGAGGGAGTTAGTAAAGAGAACGTCTGGATCTCAGCCATAGGAGTCAAGAGAAGGAGGGGAGGCCAGTGTGGGAGGAATGGGAAAACCGAAGGATTAGAATGCTCACTAGGGTTAGGGAGTAGCTGGAAGGGCTTTAGGAAGCAGGAGGGATGGAAAATTGCAGGAGAAATATTGCCAGGTGAAATGAGGATCTGAGGCGGAATCCAGAAGACAAGCTACAAGGGTGTGCAAAAGAGGATGAGCAGCAAGGAGAATACGGACCAGGTGTCGAATGAGTTGACCCCGTAGACCCAGCGATAGCTGAGGAGCTGAGGAAGACAATTAGTCAAAGGTCCTGGGTCTGAAAGGAAGCAGGGAAAGTGTTAGAACTTCCCCTACCCGGACCCTGAAGGGCTCATCCTTGCAGGAAATGGATTCTATTCTTCCAGAGCGGCGCTGGAGTCAGGGCTCCAGCAGCATCCTTAAGGGAGGCCCGCACCTGTGGAGAGGATTCTTTCTGGATGAGGAGAATTAGAGGGAGTGTGTTTACCGTAGCATAGGACTATTCCTGGCCAGATTGAAAAGGTGTAGGAGATAAAGATGGAACGGTAAAGGGAAGTGTCAGGTTGCCCATTTGAGGACTATTTGCCTGACTTTCCCTATTACCGCATGGTAAATGTCCAAAAGTCCAGTCCATCTGAGGATGGGGATACGGAGATCAATAACCAAAACAATCTGGCAATAGTCAAAAGTATCTGGCAAGAACCAAAATGATCTGGCAAGTCTTTACCTAGAGACTTTGGAAAATAGGTAAAACGGAAAATGGCTGACCAAGTGGAATGGGGAATGTGGCCACTAAATTCCAAGACATTGGGAAAAGAACCATTTTCAAGGGGAGCTGAAGGTGTTGAGGCGTGATCACAGACTGAGTCCTGGAGTAGAGAGGTCAGGACAGAGTATTCTGACACAGTGCTTCAATTGCACTGGCAAAGTGACATGGAGCATAGAAAACTGGAAGGTGCTAATGTAAAGACTGAACAGGAGGAGGTGGGCGGAAAGAAACATAAAAAGAACTCAAGGTGAAAATATAGCATTCAAATGGAAGCAAGAAGCATCTCAAGAGTTCTCCAGTGACACTATTCAGGGAAAATGGAGATTACAGGCCTGAAATAACAGAGAAGGAAACTACTCTGGCATGGATTGGGGGACATTTGTGGGTGATATATAAGAGCCATGGGTTAGAATGTTGCCAAACTCAAGGTGAGAGGTAAACGCTGATTAGGTCTGGAACAAACTATACACATGACTTGCTTGATTTAACGGGGAATGGAGAGAAAGATCATTGATAATGGCAAGATTTCACTTTTTGTTTTTTGAGACTGGGTTTCTCTGTGTAGCTTTGGAGCCTGTCCTGGAACTAGTTCTTGTAGACAAGACTGGCCTCCAATTCACAGAGATCAGCCTGCCTCTGCCTCCTGAGTGCTGGGATTAAAGGCTTGCATCACTACTATCTGGCTAAGAATTTTGTTTGTTTGTTTGATTTTTTAAGACAGGGTTCTCTGTGTAACAGCCTTGGCTGACTGTCCTGGAACTCGCTCTGTAGACTGGGCTGGCCTCAAACTCGAGCTCAAAGATCCATCTGCCTCTTCCTCCCAAGGGCTGGGGTTAAAGGCATGTACCCCATCGCCTGGCTAAGGTTTCACTTTTAAGAAACTGAAAAGAGATCTATGTACAACATGAGAATTATATTAATAAAGATATGTTTATTGACTGCTGAGTAATGAGGTAGGTACCTTTTAGAGTATTAATGTATTTTCAAAAAGTACCCTTTCCCTTCTGCAGCTAAAACCTTATGTGGGAAGTAAGCATGCCCAGGTGCTTTCCTTCTTGCCATCTTTATATACAAGTTGAGCATACCCCAAAGTGTCCCTTCTTCCATGTTGACCTTTGAAATGTGTGCCTCCTAACCCTGAGCTGAGCATACTCAAAAATGTGCCCGCTGTCTTTCTTTCTTAAACTGAACATGCTCAGAAACGTACTCCTGAGTGAGTGTTCCGGAGCATGCACACCCTGAGAGAGGATGCTGATTTAGGAACAAAGCGACGCTGCTGGTCCCTTGCATGCTGCAGGGAGCAGACTTCCCTCGCTGTCATTTCTTGGTCATGCCTGTTTGGGTTTCATGCTTGCCGAGTTGTGAAACCACTGTGCTCTGTTACTTACCGTGTCTGAGATTCATGCTAAATGAGTTGATGTGAGTGAGTGCTTAGCGCCAAAACATGACCGGCTCTGTGAGATGATAGGTATGCTGATTCGCTTCACTGTGGTTCCTCCTTTAGTCTTTGTATGTTGCCAGTCACATATGTTATATAGCTGAAACATATACAATAATAACCTTTTAAAAGGAAGAACTATTTTTTGAATATTTAGTTTTTTTTTTAATTTAAAAAGAAATAATCGCCTTTTAAAAACCTTTAAAAGGAAGTCGGGAGTAACTGTGATAAGGCAGTGAGGGCAAAGGGGGAGTTGGAAACTAATATCATTAGTGTTTTTAACAATGGCACAAGAAAAAGTGCTGAAACCATACATACCTACGTATGTGCGCGTGTGTGTGCGCGCGTGTTTGTGCACGCTCATGTGTATATATGTGGCGTGTGTATATGTGTGTGCGTGTGTGTATGTGTGTGCATGCATGTGTGTGTATGTGTGCGTGTGTATGTGTGTGCATGTGTGTGTATGTGTGTGCGTATGTGTGTGCGTGTGTATGTGTGTGTGTGCGCATGTGTGTGTGTGTGTGTGTGTGTGTGTGTGTGTGTATAGGTTCAGTTTTTTGAGACAGGATCTTGCTTTGTAATCCAGGCTCCCCTCAAGCCCAGGCTTCCTTAAATCTCAGGATGATACTCCTTTGAGTGCTGAGATTACAGGTCTGAATCGCCGTGCTCAGCTTATATGACTACTATTACCACTGTTTGGAGACAGGGTCTCACTGTTGCATTGGTTGGCTTGGAACTCACCCTATAGACCAGGCTGGCTTTGAACTCACAGAGGTCTACCTGCCACTGCCTCCCAAGTGTTGAGATTATAGACATGTGCCATCCTGCCAAGCCTCATATTATCTTAAAGGCATTTGTACTAGTTGGATAAAGAGATTCTTTTCTATCTATTGGGAAAAATACCCAAAAAGTTGCAGTTTAATGGCATCTGAGAAAAGAAAATGCCAGGATAATCTTATGATGATGGTACAGGGTCTCAGCGTGTGACAACTGAGTGCTTAGATAAAGCAGTGAGATGAAGAGTCAGGACAAAAGACACATCCAAAGCAGCACTCTCTAATTCCAGAACGTCAACATTTTGGCCATGTCTGTCTCATTTTGGCCTGTAATTTAAATGCAGAATTATAATTATATTTGCATGAGGCTGGTCCTACATAAAACCAAGAATGCAAACCGGTCTAGGAATAGAACCAGTGTTTTCCATATGAGGAAAAGGCTACCTCACCTCTCACGTTGTCAGGCTCCTAGCTACATTGCTTTCTTCACCGTCGCTCCTATGGTTGCCAGCAGGACGGGGTTCAAATCTTCTCTCTTGACCTCCTGACGTAGTCCTGAATTCCTTCAACTTTATTCATAGGGCAGACCATAGGCCCTAACTCAAAGATCATTAATCATATATCGGGGAACTATTTCCTCACACAAGGTCTGCATAAATTTGCCTGTCTGGCTATAGGTGATTGGTCAGTAGGAAGAGACGAGGCAAAAGTCAGATACAATGGCAACAATGAAAAGTGAGCATACTTCCTTATGGTAAGAGGAGATGTGTAATTATAAAAACAAGAGAGGAAACGAGGCAGTAATAGTCTGAACTGGGCAATATTGGGAACCATGTTTGACTTGGCAGCAGCACCTAAGGGGATGGTTAGCCTGTGTGATCAGGAGAGTTTTAGGTCATGTGGCACAGTCTGCTAAGAAGCAAGTGAACAAACGGAACAGTTTTCAAATTCCCAACCAAAACGCTTAAAGTAACCCACAAAATATTTTAACTTTTAAAGAAGTCAGTCTCCCGGGTCTGGATAATTCATATAAACAATGTATGTAGGAACAAATGTTATTGTGGCAGCAGATACAAAGGTTTTCTGCTCAGGGTTGTAGCAGGCGCCTCGCTAAGAGCTAAGTGATCGCCTCAGGGCATGGTGGGATTTCTGTGCGGGCTCGGATTCTCACTGTGATATTTTTGTTGTTGTTGTTCTTAATTAGTGCAACAAGAGCTCCCTGAATTCCTGTCCAGTGCAGTGATTCACTTCGGCTCATCGACAGGAGCTATGGGTTGAGTCATGTTGCTGTGAACCCTGATCTCCAAAGCTTGTTTAGAGCTAGCTAGTGGTCACACTTTAACTCACATTGATTTGATTGTTATGCTTTAAGGGAAACAAATTTTGTTGTTTGCAGAACAGTTTGCTCAACTGTATCCTGTTGGAAAAATTTAAAGCTAAAAGTACCAGATGTTTTGCCTTCTTGTGGCTAAATTCTTCTTCATCATCAATGCTAAAAAAAAAAAAAAAAAAAAAAAAAAAAAAAAAAAAAAAACCCAGAAGCTTTGCTTTAATGAAAACGTATGCACCTCTCAGGTGGCATTTTGCTATACACTTCCTTTCTCGTCGGTTCCTCTGTACATTCTAATATGAGCAGGACTATCTGCTCAGGTTTGGTCCCGGTCAACCACGTCTGAGAAAAGAGCTTTACTGGAAAGCCTTACCAGGTCACTTTTCTCTTCCAGGTGGTGGGTTTGGCTCAAGACTTTGTTTTACAGTACCAGGAACTTAACCTAGAGCCTCCCATATGCTAGTCAGGCATACTACCGCTGAACTATATCCTCAATCCTGTTTCATCTTTTTAAGTTTACGACATTAGACTCACCCCCTAGAACCTAGGCATGCCTCGAACTTGTGATCTTCTAGCCTCATCCTCTTGAGTAATGGGATTTCAGGGTCAAGACTTTTATCATTATAACTGATCATGTGCAAAAAAATGAATCTTTCCACGAATTTATTCATTTAATAAGTTTTTTTATTTGGTCTCTGTGGTGCTGGAGGCAGAAGGATTATGGAAAAAGTAGAGCAACATACAAAGATGGACTATAGGATCCATCCAATATGTATGGATTTCATACATATTGAATGCCAGTTACATATGAAATGCTATATATATGCTATATGCTATATATACCGGTTATCTATGATATGCTAACACTCGACAGCATACCATGACTAAGAGAACATCGTTGCACTGGCAGGTGGCTTCAGTGGGAATTTGATTGATAAGAAAGACAAGATACCCTGGGATCAGTTCCTAGCACAGGGATCGAGGTGGGGACCACAACAAACAAAAGCTAATTGAGAGAAGATGTATTTTGATTGGGATGACTTTGGAGGTCGAAGGGAACTTATTGGTGGGACACTAACTTCGCTGAAGACTTCCTGGGTGAAGTGGCTAGTTTTTGTGTTTGAGACAGGATCTTGCTGTGGAACCAACTTTGACCAAGTTTGACTTGTAGCACTCCTGCCTCAACTTCCCAAGTGCTGGCAAATCCAGGTGTGTGGCATCACACCTGACTTAACTATCATTTTATTTTACCTTGAGATAGCCTCGCTATACAGCCCAGGCTAGCCTTGAACTCACAATCTTTATCATTTAGCGTTCTGAGTACTCCTGGGATTACAAACATGTACTACTACGGCTGGATTAAGAGATGCCAGTTTTGACAAGCCTTTTAAGGAATTTTAATAATTTATTAAGGGCCCAAAAATCATGAAGAAAAGTCTCGAAGGGTAGGGAGGATTTTGTTACATACTTTCATGTGGTATACTGCAATAAAGTTTGGATTTCAGAGAAATTTTTCTTAGTTGGCTTTTTGTTTGTTTGTTTAGTATTTGACTATCCTTAAAATTTTTGTCATTTAGCACTTCAATACTGATATATTTTCAGCTCACACTATCTCATCTGGCTTGGGAAAGAATTTTTCCCCTCTAGGTACCACACTCTTAACCACAACAGACATTTGCTTAAAAGGGCACCTCCACTTTCTGTCTTCAAATGTAATTTTATCATCAAGTGAAGCCATTTGCATATCATTAGTTAGCTTGCGTTTTTAGATTTTATTTTCTGAAAAGGTTAATTTTAATCAGCCACTTTTGCTTAATTGGAGTGACCAATTTGAAATATTTCATTTAGAGCCTCAGCCTTGCTAGCATTCCAAGACATTTTCCCTCCCTGAATGGAGAGCTTGAAGCTGCAGATCAAGTGTTAGTGAATTAGTTTCGTTAAATTGGAGCTGAGAGTGGCCCTCCTGAAGCTGTAAAGGAGCTGGCCATGGCCACAGGGCAGCCAATGAACTCTTAACCCTGTGGGTAGCATGCTGCTGTTTGTTGGGCTTCCGTGCGGTCTTGTTTTACTTTTCTTGCTTTCTGCCCCACACTCCTCCACCTCAGCCCCCGCTCTCCCCCCCCCGCCCCCCCCCATACCTTTCCTGCTGGCAAGGTAATCAAACCCTTTGTGCCCAGCGCCCGGGTGCTTCCTGCTGCCACGGGGGGGGGGGGGGGGAGTCATTTCCTTTCTCAGAAGACTAGATCTTCAAGATCGAGGTTGTAAAAAAATCAAAGTTGCAATGTTATGGAGTTGAAGTCCAGAAGTTAATGTTTGGTATACCTTATGAAAATGTCCAGATATGTTGAAATCACCTCCTGGTGTCTATTATAAAAATGCTTCAGTAGGAAGTAGGTGAGAATATAGGAAAAGGTCTCATTTGTGTGTGTGTCTTTTCAAATTATGCTCTGCTTCTTTTTCTTTTTCCCTCATAGATCATCTGAGCGCTTTTTAAATGTGTAGTTACCCTGGGTTTTCTGTAAATTTTGGTTTGATCTCCATGTCATAAGCGATGTGGTATTTATTAGCTACAGCATAAATCCGAGTTTATTGGAAGTGAGTGAAGAATTTTTGCTCTTTTAAAAGGAACTGAGGGAGCTCTCAGTAGCAGGAACCTAAAGAGCCTAGAGACTCATGTAACTAAGGATACTTAGTTCTTTTATTATTTGAAGACTGAAATGTGTTCTAACTTAGATTATGCAACAAGCGAGGTAGAAATACATCCAAATAAATCTTGCCTTTGTTGGAACCTTTGCCTTATAAGAGGCTTAACAGAAGAGATCAGTATACATTTAAGATTTTATTTTTAATTGTGGAAGTGGCGTGGGGAAGTGATGGAGGTGTTTATGCATGCATGGGCGTGTGTGCCTGCATGCGCCTGTGTGTGTGTGTGTGTGTGTGTGTGTGTGTGTGTGTGTGTATACTCACCTCTGCTAGCATATGTGCAGGCTATTGGTTGACATGACTTTCCACATGATATTTTAAGACAGGGTCTTTCAATGTACCTGATGCTTACTTTTGGCTAGGCTGGCTAACCACTGAGTTCCGGGATCCACTGGTCTCCCTGGCTTGTGCTTACACACCTGTGCCAGCACACCTATCTTTACTGGGAGTTCTGGAAATCTCAACTCAGAGCCTCACGCTTGCCTATCAACTGCCTTACTCACTGAGCCTTCTCCTCATTCCTCGTGTGAAACCTGAATCTTGCTTTAAGTTTTTTCTTTGATCCACTGCTTATCAAGAATACAACTGTTAATTTCTAAGAATAGATTCATGGAGCAAGAATTTTTCTAGTCATGTTGTATTATTTATTTCAGACCTTACTGGACTGTAATATAAGAAAATGCCATGTGAGATATTTTTCATCTTGAATTTAATAAAGATTTCTTTTAGGCCAAGTATAAAGTTAAGTTTCACAAAGGTTACGTGGGCATTTGAAAAATTAGTTATACTGATTTGTACAATTTTCTATATATCTATAAGTTTATTGTTTTTTCAATTTGCATATATTTTCTATTTTAGTTGTCTAAGTATGTGTATTATACATTACTATAAATAATCACCTCAATGCTTAGTGCCTTGAAATCATAAAATGTAGTATGTAAGAATTTATGTGGGTCTGAAATTTGGGTGCAGCTTAGCTGTATGCTTCTGGTCCAGGGTTTCTCATGGAATTATCGGTAAGCTATTGTCCGGGGCTGTGGTCACCTGAGAGGTTGACTATCAAAAGAACCTATTTTCAAGAAGACTAACTCAGGGCTAGAGAGAAAACACAGTAGTTAAGAGCACTTGCTGCTCCTGCACAAGACCCATGTTTGGTTCCTAGTACCCACATGACGGTGCACAACCATTTTTAATTCCAGCTCTAGGGCATCTGATACCATCTTTTGACCTCTGAGGGCACTGTACACACATAGTGTATGCATATATATACACGTGCAGACAAGCACATACACATAAAATGAATAAATCTTTAAATCTTTTAAGAGTACAAAAAGAGATGGCTAACTCATATGGCTCTGGGTATAGCATCTCACTTCATTCCTAAACCCATGGACCTCTCCACAAGGCTGGTTAAACCTTCTCACAACCACGGCAGTTTGTTTTCCCCAAAGTGAGCGATCTAAGAGGAGAAACAGGAAGCTTCACTGTCTTCTATAATTTAAGTCTCTAAAGTTTCACATAATGACTTCCACTTTCTTTCTGTTTATTAGAAGCATGTCATTAAGTCTGTCTCACTCAAGGGGAAGGAAATTAGACTTCATCTTTCAAAAAGGTGTCAAGAATTTATGGAGGTTATTTTAAAGCAGTGATTAAAGGCAAACATTCACTACTTTTGTATTGTTAAGCAATTTCTTCTTGCACTTGTGGTTAGAATATGAGGCAAATATTTCTTCTCTGCAT